CAGCAGGAAGGACTGGAGCAAGTGGATCCATGTGGAATATTACTGGGAAGATTTGAAGGGAATGTTTCCCAGAGTCCTGATCAGGGAGAAACCTGTCAGAGTCAGCATAGCCCAGAAATGCAGCAGGGAAACCATCCAAGGAAGGGACAGGGTAAATCCAGTCACAGGAGCAGAAGGGTGGAAAGAAACACAGCAACCGTTCAACAGAAAATCTCCCATCAACTGGTACCCTATGCTTATAGTGACCATGCAACTCCTATTGAGCATCAAAGAATCCACGAAATAGAGAAGCCCTTCAAATGCTTTGACTGTGGGAAAAGCTTCAATAAGTGGTCAGAGCTTGTTAGACACAGAAGAATTCACACAGGAGAGAAACCCTTCAGCTGCTCTGACTGTGGGAAAAATTTCAGTGAGAGTTCACACCTTGTGAGACATAGGAAAACTCATGCAGAAGAGAAGCCCTTCATTTGCTCTGACTGTGGGAAAAGTTTCAGTGAAAACTCACTCCTTCTTAGACATCGGAGAACTCACGCAGGAGAGAAACCTTTCAAATGTTCTGAATGTGGGAAAAGCTTCATTCAGAGGTCAGATCTTGTTAAACATTGGAGAATCCACACAGGAGAGAAACCTTACAACTGCTCACACTGTGGAAAAAACTTCAGTCGGAGCTCACAGCTTGTTAGACATAGGAGAACTCACACAGGAGAGAAACCTTTCAAATGCTCTGACTGTGGGAAAAGCTTCACGGAGAGGTCAGACCTTGTTAAGCACTGGAGAACCCACACCGGAGAGAAACCTTACAGCTGCTCAGACTGTGGGAAAAACTTTAGTCAGCGCTCAAATCTTGTTAAACATAGGAGAATTCACATAGAGGTGAATTGCTCTGAAAGTGGGAAAAGCTTGAGTCGGGGCTCAAATCTTAACAATCATCATACAATCCACACAGGAGAATCTTAGAATCATAAAATCAAATCCTAGAACACTAGCACTGAAAGGGACCTGGAGAGGTCATCAGGTGTAGTCCCATGCCTTGATGGCAGGTCCATTCACCATCTGCCATCCCTGACATATCTTTTTAACTTGCTCTTAGATATCTGCAATGTTAGAGATTCTGCAACCTACCCAGGCAATTTATTCCAGAGTTTAACCACCCTGACAGGAAATTTTTCCTTATGTCCAACCTAATCCTCCCTTGCTGCAATTTAAGCCCTTCGCTGCTGCTTCTATTGTCAGAGGTCAAGGGGAAACATTTTTTTCCCCTCTTCCTTGTAGCATCCTTTTAGGGACTTGAATGCAGACAGACATCTCCTGTCCATAATGCACATAATCACACATTAATCTCAGGAAGCACTTGAGTCCAACTCCACTGTAGGCTGTGCCCCCAGCTCCATCTGTTTACCAAAACACCCACCCTGATTTGCCTCTTTCCTCTAGCACGTCCTTAACAGCACTGAACTAGGGGGCTACGTCTACACTGGCACTCTTTTCCGGAAATGCTTAAAACGGAACAGTTTTCCGTTATAAGTATTTCCGGAAAAAGCACGTCTACATTGTCAGGATGCTTTTGTCCGTGGCCAATGTAGACGCGCTTTTCCGGAAAAAAGCCCCGATCGTCATTTTCGCAATTGGGGCTTTTTTGCGGAAAAGACTACTGTGCTGTCTACACTGGCCCTTTTCTGGAACAGTTTTTCCGGAAAAGGACTTTTGCCCAAACGGGAGCAGCATAGTTTTTCCGGAAAAACACTGACAATTTTACAGTAGATCGTCATTGCTTTTCCGGACAAGCAAGCGGCCAGTGTAGACAGCTGGCAAGTTATTCGGGAAAAGCAGCTGATTTTCCGGAATAACTTGCCAGTGTAGACACAGCCTCAGATGGGGGCTAATTTAGCTACAGCGAATCAGGAAAGAGATCTTGGAGTCATCATGGATAGTCCTTTGAAGATGTCCATGCAGTGTGTAGCGGCAGTCAAAAAAGCAAACAGGATGTTAAGAATCCTTAAAAAAGGGATAGAGAATAAGATGGAGAACGTCTTATTGCCCTTATATATATCCAGGGTACACCCATATCTTGAATACTGTGCACAGATGTGGTCGCCTCATCTCAAAGAAGATATACTGGCATTAGAAAAGGTTCAGAGAAGGGCAATTAAAATGATCAGGGGTTTGGAACGAGTCCCATGTGAGGAGAGATGAAAGAGACTGACTTTTCAGCTTGGAAAAGAGGAGATTAAGGCTATGTCTACACTTGTGGCTTCTTGCATGAGTAATATGCAAATGAGGCTAAGTGTGGAATATTGCCGTGTGTAGACACAGCCGGGATGTAAAGGTGATAAGCAAAAGCTTATAGGTTAATGCTATAGACTACATGTATTTCCCTCTTCCCCTCTCTCTGCCAGTAAATTTTTTAGCAGGCGTGTCTTAGGAGCTGGGTGGGCAGGCGGCCTGACTTAATCATGGCTCACACTAGGTCTGAGATCCACCCCCATTTCAGCTCTGCATTTCAAGTGTATTAAGAGCCAGGAGGGCAGCCTAGCTCAGTTCTGGTTTGCACCGGGTCTGACCCTTCCCCCCCAACAGGGACTGCTGCCAACCCGCGCTGCTGCCTCTTCCTCAGCACAGGGCAACAGGCAGCCAGTCTGCGAGGGGAGCAGGCACCCCTCTTTGCCTCTGATACACTGGCTGCTGGCCCTGCTCCCAGGTCTATAGAAGAGTCGACTAACCAATAAAATTTCATTAGGTTACTTGACTATTCAATTAACTGATAGTTAACCCTACACTGAACAGTTGATCTGCAGGAGATAGAAAGCTTCGGTTGCGGGGGAAGAGGGGAGAGAAGCTCATTTGTGACGCCCAATGGTGCAGAGGAGGGGGAGGGAAATGGGGCAGGAGCTGATCCATGGGGCTGCCGGTGGGTCCCATCGTTTTTTTTCTAAGAATGCAGTAACCCCATGGTATCCACAGTGTCCAAGTCTGTCACTAAGCAATGGATGCAGGCTCACACTGCAAAGGCCTGGATCCAGAAAGTATGGTGAACAATTCCGTAACTTTATGCAGAGCTGATTTGTCAGAGAAGGACCTGGGGGTTACAGTGGGTGAGAAGCTGCATATAAGCCAGCAGGGTGCCCTTGTAGCCAAGAAGGCTAATGGCATATTAGGGTGAATTAGGAGAAGCACTGCTCACAGCATGGTTCCCTCTAAGGTGTGTGGCTGTGCGGCTGCACACACAACATTCTCCTGCGCTCCTTCGCAGAGCCAGGCAGCAGTGCTCACTTCCCTGTTGGACTGTGAGTGGTGTGGCAGGTTCCTGCTCCAGCCACACAAAGGGCAGAAAACTTACCGCACCAGCCGCTGCCTGAGGTAGCTGCAGGAATTAGCCATGCCAGGGATTCTCGGTGCAGGGGCTTCCTGGTGCAGGTTAAGGGGAAAGCGATCGCTGCTCCCACCACTAAGCAGCCCAGCCCCCGTGCATTCCCAGTGCCACCTGAGCTCTCCTGCGGGGCACTATGCTCTCGCTGCCCGTAAGCATCCGTGTCCTTAGGGCCCTGGGCTGGGGTCTGTGAGAGGGGGTGGGCCCGGACCCCCCTCTCCCCACGGTCGGCGAGTGACCTGTTTACACCCAAGAAGCTGCCGGGTAAAACCACCCACCGCAGGCTGCCGGAGCTTCAGCTTAAATAATGTGTCCCTTGCAAACAGTATGTCCCGTGTGCATGTCAAGGAAACGGGTGCTGCAAGGACAGAGACCCGAGGGTTGTACATGAAGGACGTGCTATGTACTGACCAGGGCTTTGAGCGAATCCCATCCCTCCCATCCCCCGTGTTACAGGCACAGGTGCCTCCTAGGTGTGCCATCAGGTCATGCTGAGCTGGGAGCATGATTTTTGTGCAGGGGCCTGATCCCAGGTGCAGCTTGTGGAGTCTGGAGGGGCTGGGAAGAAGATCCTCTGTACCTCCCCTGCAAACCCCCTGTCTTCACTTCCAGCAACTACAGGATGAACTTGGCCCAGCAGGCTCACACTGGTTTACAGTGATAGCTCAAGTCCAAGCTATGGTGATGGGGTCAAAGGGCAATTCACCATCTCCAGAGACAGTCCCAACAACCCGCTGTACCTGCCACTGACCGCTGTCACTGTGCCAGAGCTACAGTGGTTCTAGGCCCGTCAGTGTCAATACAACCCAGGCTGCACACTGCCCATGACTGCTAGGACATGGGAAGCGCTGGTCCCGAGCAAGTCAAAGGCAAAACTCCCTTGGGCTCCCCAGTGGGGCTTGAACTCCTGCCCCCAGGGAGGCAGAGAACAGCGCTGGGTTTGTGGGGCAGAATGGACCATGTGGGGGGGGGGGGGGCTCTGGAGCACAGTGAGTTGCAGAGAACCCAGAAAGAGTTTACAGTGGAGGGGGGTTACCCCTTAACCCAGCTCCCCAAGGCACCTGTGCCAATCCCAGCCGCTTGGCATGCACTACTGAAAGACACCCTAGCCCTGCTTGCACTCAGCAGCCACTCACTTGCTGGGCCAGGCAGCACACTGCGCACGAGAGGTTATTTCCCGCTCACATCAAGCACATTCTCAGCTCAGTTTCCCCTCTAAATCCCAGCTTGCCTTGGAGCTCCGGGGTTACCCTGCATGATCCTTGACTGTTCAGCTTGGCCTGATACTCCTTCCTTTTAGCACTGTGGGGGCAAAAGGAAGAACGTGGCAGTTGCAGGTACAGGGACAAAACATGAGGGCATCAGGAAGCAGTGAGAAACACAACCTCAGCCCTGCATCTCTAGCCAGGTTGGTATGTTCCATGGCCCCAGCACATCCCAGACACCCCACAGAGCCGGGCAGACAAGAAACCCAACTCCAGTGGGCATTAGACACCCAGCAGAAGGCACAAAATTCTCTTTTGGTCAGCCTGAGAACAAGGAAGCCACAGCACACCAAGGCTATGTCTACAATGGTGGGTTCTTGCGCAAAACCATCTTGTGCAAGAACTCTTGTGCAAGAACATGTCCACACTGCCATGTGCTTTTGCGCAAGAGCATCCATGGCAGTGTGGACGCGCTCTTGTGCAATAAAGCTCTAATGGCCATTTTAGCCATAGGGTTTTCTTGAGCAAGAAACCCCTGCTGCGTGTTTACGGGAGGGCTTACACTTGTTAGAAAAGAGTGTAGCCGCTGCGTGTTTACTGGAGGGCTTATACTTGTTAGAAAAGAGTGTAGCTCTTGCACAAGAAGCCCTGTTTTCCAACACCATACTGTAAATCTTCTTGCACAAGAGTGGGCAGGCAGTGTGGATGCTGACATAGCCCTTGTGCGAGAACGGCCATTCTCGCGCAAGAACCCACCAGTGTAGACATAGCCCAAGTGTGAGGGCTTTGCAGCAACCAGCCCAGCCCCAGCAGGTCCAACTGAGATGTTAAGTCAAATTGCAGGATTCAAGAGCCCTGAGTGTTGCCTTTTACACCACCTATAGCTGGTGGCTTTGGTGGGCTCCTGTGATTAAGTTCTCAGGCTGGCCCCCTGCTCTCCTGACTTCCCTCCAGCTGTCCCATCTCAGTGGTTTTTTTATTTAAATACCAGATCTGGTAGAAAGCCGCGCTGCCTCCAACCAAACGCTAAAAAGGCTCCTGCTTTTCCCTGGCCCCTTTGCAGCTAAAAGGAAAGAGGCCCAGGGCCAGGCTAAGGAGCCTGGGGAAAGCAGGAGGTAGGAGGAGCCCCAGGTTGGAGTCCAGTTCCCCTTTCCTCCTCTGGGCACCTTGAGCGGGGGCAGCTAGTGCTGACAGCTCCAAGGAAAGGCTTAAAAGCTACAGCACAAGAGGAGGGCAGGGCCATGCCTATGTGTGGTTGCAGACAGCCCCCAGGGACTCCTGGCTGGGCCGCTCCCCACCCTCTGGCTTGCGAAATGCTGAGCAAAGGCCACACACTAACCAGCATATGGGCTGCAGGTGGCTGCTGATGCTCTGTGCCCCACATGAGAAGATGGTAGGAAAGCAGAGCCAGGGCCACGCTCTTGTCAGGCACTCAAAGGCTACGTCTAGACTGGCATGATTTGCCGCAAATGCTTTTAACGGAAAAATTTTCCGTTAAAAGCATTTGTGGAAAAGAGTGTCTAAATTGGCGCGGATGCTTTTCCGCAAAAGCACTTTTTGCGGAAAAGCATCTGTGCCAATCTAGACGCGCTTTTCTGCAAAAAAGCCCCGATCGCCATTTTCACGATCGGGGCTTTTTTGCAGAAAACAAATCTGAGCTGTCTACACTAGCCTTTTTGCGCAAAGGACTTTTGCCTGAACGGCAGCAGCACAGTATTTCCGCAAGACGCACTGATTTCAGACATTAGGAAGTCAGTGTTCTTGTGGAAATTCAAGTGGCCAGTGTAGACCACTGGCAAGTTTTTCCGCAAAAGCAGCTACTTTTGTGGAAAAACTTGCCAGTCTAGACACAACCCCAGAGCTCCAGACATGCTATTAAATAAGCCCCCTCAAGCACAGGGGCCCATTTGGGAGAGAGAAACTGCCCCACACACTAGGCCGGCCTCTGCTTTCTCTCTTTGGCAG